TTTTTTTTTTTTTACCTTATAGCTGGGTACGTTAAACATGTAGCAATGCATTTCGAGACAGCACCCAACACAAAAGCAGAAAATGCAGAAAGAGCTTCTGGAGATATTGCCATCACATCATTTTTCCCTTTTCTCATCTTCGCCGTTAGCAGTCTCTGCTTTAACTGATCAAACGCGGTGTACTGCATAAAAATGTTATAACAAATCAGATATTTTTCATATTCATCATAACTTAAGGTTGATTTTACTAATGTAAGAAAAAAGTAACACAAAAAAAATAAAAAAAAAAAATAAAATAAAAATAAAAAGTTATGCAAGAAATGAAAGTAAGTCCTACAATTGAACTCGAGAGAGCAATTTTCTCATAAAACACAAGACTTTGAAAGGTGGGGCAATCAAGAAACATGACTGGTTTTACATGGTAAAAAACAACAAATAAGCAATTCTAAGTAGTTAGCCTGCAAGACATCTGGAGATGGAATACCCATTACAGAATCTCTTGTAGATTTAAAGCAGTATAGAGCATTTAGACAAACGATGGATATTATTTCGAAATACCTAGAGAGGTACAAAACTTGAGCAAGCAGCAAGGGTAAAATTTGTAGACTTTGATCTCAGGTTCCAAAGAACATTTCAGTCATGATATTGTCATATTTTAAACCTCGAGCCCAGTGAAATACAATTTTTTTTTTTTCAGTCTTTCGAGAAACAAAAAAAAAAGACAGCAAAATAGATACCACAGAACGTAAGTTAGTCCAACATGTTGGGAGATAATAGATAAAGACCTCCAAACAACGTGAAATAGCTTCAATTGTTAAGCTGCTCTGTAGTTTTCCCGAGCTTAGCTTGATATACAGCAGCATACGAAGTGGCCTTTTTTCTTTCTCAACAGCCAGTGCTAAACTGAGTTTTACAGATGCTATGCCTCATCAATATAACTAATGAGTCTCCCAACAAGGATTAAAATATTTGAAAATTAACAGCACATCTTTATTTTAAAGAAACTCTTGAATTTATCCTTCAAAATGTTTTTTTTTTCCATTAAACAGAACGTCATTAGTTACTCATCCATTAACTGGATAAAATCATAATCCAAACTTTACGAGCCAGATAACAATAAAAGTAGGTCAATCAGATTTGTTAATTAATTAATTAGTTGTAATTAGAAATTAAAGCTCATTAGCATCTCGTCAATTTGAGCTCTCTCTCTCTCTCTCAGAGCAAATGAAAATGTTTTTTCTATTGGCACATCATCAGGTCCAAATATCAGTTCACCTAATAACAACGCAACCAGGGAACACTCCATCACGAAATCTTGATTGGGATTATTTCTAACACAAAGAGAACAAACACATCAGCAACAATACTCCCAGCAAATCCATACGCTCATGACGCATTTTGATGCCATAAAATCCTTAGGAAGAAAAATGATCTCCAAAACCCTAGAGAAGTAAAATCATTTTCACTTCCGGGCTCTCTGCAAAATTGGCTCGCATATTTAACACAATACTCACCTAACAGCCCACACACGAGCGAGCACAGCAATCACCATACCTTGTTCGTTACGGGCGGCGAAGAGGATGGTGGCGGTCTCATCGCCGACGAGGCACTCGGCGACGCGGATTCCTCGGAGGTGCGGCGAGGCGGCGGCGCCCTTCTGCAGCGTGGTTTCGGTGCTGACGACCTTCACCACCAGATTGTGGCCGTTGGTACCCGGCTTCAGGCTGTCCGCCTTCACGAACGTCGGCTTCCTCAAACTCCGACCACCAACGTTAGCCGCCATTTTTCCTTGATTAGCAAAGAAAAATGCCCTAGCTTGTGTGAGAAATTGTGCGCGCGCTTCTATGACTGATAAGACTTTGGGTGTGATTTTGGGGGTTTGGGGTTTTCGAAACTTGGGTTTGAATCCAGTGAGTGTGGGTTCACCGAGGGGACTCTGGGACCATGACCATTCAGCTCCCACGTGGCGTTACCTGTAATGTCCGTCGGGCTACGCTCCGACTCCGAGGGGTTTCAATGCAAATATCTAATTATTATTTGATACACAAAATGACAAAATATTATAGTTTTTAAACTATGACCCGAAATCGGGTCCTTGGGTTACCGATTCAACAGTCGAATCACCGAGTCAATTGTTGCCTTAGATAATTAATTTTAAAAATTTGAAAATTATTTATGTATTATTTTTGTTATATAAATACACTAGGGCCGACCTTGGCCCAAGGCAGCATGGGCTACGGCTCAGCCGCCCAGGGCCCAATAGCATAAAGGGGCACCATCAGAACCCATATACCTTATATAATATATTAGTGGGCTTTCAGCCGGCCCAAATTGAGTCAATAACTAAATTAAAATGTAACGTCAATTAACTGTACATACTGTCGGACTTGTTTTCATCCCTAAATCCATTTGAAAAGTAAATTCTTTATGTTAGCATATCGACCTATCAACTCTCTATATTGATATGTAATTGTGCTAGCATTAAATAACTACTGTGTCCTGCAACACCCGGCCTTCTGGCTTTTGAAAATACGCTGATTTTCACAGTAATTTTTTTTTTTTTATCGAAACTACTTCAAACTTTTCGAAAACACTTTAAACTTCTCGATGGATGCTACCTTCTTACTTAATTTCCTGAAAAACTGTTTTCTTTAAAAACTGGACCTAAGATGCTGACTTAGGACTTATGAGTACACTGAATCATATGCTAAAAAACTTGATTTTACTTCTTTTCCAGTAATTTCACGGTACCTTTAACCCGGGTTTTTGAATATCTGTGGAAGGAAAAAGAAAAGCATTAATTTAATCATTAAGTAATTGTCTTCTTTAGTAATTTAGTAACTTACTTTTATAACTTAACTACTAAGAATAATTGAACCAATTTGAGATGTTTGTGGGTGTTTTTTCCAATTTGTGAATGGTCATTGCATTAGTGTAGTCCCATTTATGTGGTTCTAAAAAATTTTAATCATATGAAAAAATTTCCATTTCTTTTTTCATACGCATTTGTCCATTGACTAAAAATTACTAGCGTGTACCCCGTGTAATGCACGGAAACGATATTAAATCGATAATATTATAAATAGACCTCGAGTTTGAATTACTAAGTGGAAACTACTATTGATTCTATTTAACAAGAGGAAGAAAAAAAATAATTATAAATTAAAGAGGAGGATAAACAATACTTAATAATTATAAATTAAAGATTCGGGGTCAAACAATGTAAAATTATTTTGTATAAGAGAAAATAAAATTTGCATTATTTTGTATAAGAGAACATAAAATTTGGACCTTTAATATTAAAACACCTAAAATGTTAAAATGTTATATTAGTATATGTAAAAGTATTCAAAGTTTTCTATATTATTTTTGCAAGATGTGAAGTCACCTACAACTTTTCTAAACAATTTTAGAAGGAAAATATATCTAAAAACATTTGAATTTAACATTGTGTAAAAAAAAAATTTCTAGACTATTTTGTAGAGAAAACATGTCTACAAATATTTAAATTTAACATCAATTATATATATGTGTATATATATATATGTATATATAGACAAATATGTAAAAAAAAATATCTAAACAATTTGTTTAAAATATCTAAAATATTATAAGACTAATTTAATAATGACATTCATATGATACCGAATTTATGGTGTTACTTCCATCTAACAAAATTTGATTACACACAATTTCAAAATTATTATTATACTTTTTACATTATTTTCGAGAATGTATTGTTAGTTTATAATATTTATAAAAATATTAGTAATTAGACCGATGAAAATTAGCAGCGCTCGATATGGGTTCGTATTTTTTTTTNATACACCGCCTATTCAAAATTGACCAACAATTACTATATATAAGATACATTTAATGATATTGGCGAGAAAAACTTACTAAATTTGTAAAAAGGTTATTCTTTTTATATAATGATAGATTTGACATAAGGTCACATTCATCAACGTGCATTGGAATTATTGAATATTAAGCAATCCTAAAGTCATCACCTAAATCAGTAGAATATATTCCTGTTCTAAAAATCGGCCTAGGCAACTGCCTAGGCGGTGCCTGGACACCTCCGATATGCACAAATCGACAAAAAAAATTGATCAGGCGGCTAGGCGGCGCCTAGGCGCTCCTAGGCGGACTTGGCGGCTTGACAGCCAGGCGATTAGGCGGCGCCTAGGCGGACATAGGCGGGCTCGACGGCAATTTTTCAGTTTTTTTTTTTTTTTTTAAATACTAATTACATTATTTTATTCTCATGTTTTCTTTAAAATATAATTAATAGTATTATTTGGACTTAGGTGTGTGGATTTATTATCAGTTGAGATAGTTTTATTTTGTAGCTAGTTAAAATACATAAAAAAATAAGGTATTTAATATTGATTTCTAGGCCCCGACTAGGCGGTCTAGGCGCTAGGACCAGCGCCTAGCGACTTTTAGAACACTGGATTATATTTCTTTTTCTTTTCTTTCTCAAGGGAAGCCATTTTTTCTTTGGCCTTCTTCGATCATCATGGGCTTGGTTATCTAATCCTGATGGTTTCGGAATGCACGCCGACTTCTTTTTTTTCTACGATAAAATGGGAAAAAATTATGTACGAGGAAACAAAGCAAATCAGAACAAATACTCTTTTTTTGGAACTAGTACGAATCCCGTACTATGCACGGGTATACAATTTTTATTAATATTTATAAATTAAAAATATCAATTAAATAATATTTATAAATTAAAAATATTATATCAATATGTAATACAATTTACTTATATTAATTTGTTGAAAATGTTATATGAAATTTAAATTGTGCAAACAATTACGTAAAACATGTATATTTGTAGTACACAGCCGTACGGTACAATAACTGATAATAAATTATATTATATTTATTTCAAAATAACTATCATTTTAAAATTTTTATTCAGAAATTTGATTTGACTACAAAGTGATTCCTTTAAAATAGTTATTTCACCAATATTTGTTCAACAAATTTTTATGGACTCTTCAATTATTTTATAATAATAATAAAATCCGAAAATCATTTTTTTGTTGGACTCCGTCTAATATATTTGGTCTATAAAATCGTACAAGTTACTAGATTTCTTTGAAGAATTTGACTTTATATGGTTTCTTTGTTTTATTTTTGGTACATAAAATAGTGATATCCGATCAAATTTGTCACATAAAAAAATTGATCATTATTCTATTGCCAACATACAAATTTAACTAAACAATTTTATTTCTCAATAAAAAAAAAATAAAAAACTAACCAATAATACCTGCTCAAAGTTTATAACACATACCATTTTTTTTACTTTTTTTTTTGGACTCTCAATTAATTTGATCCAATTTTTTTTACCTGCTCAAAGTTTATATTATTTGCTTCAAAAATTTTCTTCCCTTACCTTATTAACCCTGATATAACTTTCGTTAACGTAAGTAGAAAGGAAAGTTCAAATATGTAAATCTTTTGTTTATTTGTTGAGATTTGGGAACACAATCTCATTCATCTAGACGTGTCCAAAGGCCGGGCCCAGCCCAGCCCGCCGAGTTGGCGGGCCTCAACTGCTGGGCCCGTAACCGGCCCGACTATTTCTATGTGCCGGTTCCAACGGTTTCGGGCTTTTTTTTTAGTTGAAAAAAAAACAAAAGAAGTAACGCTAAAGTCGATCGACAACGAAACGACGGTGATGGATCCGTATTCGGCAGAGCGAACCGACTGGAACAATTCTCTTGAATATCGGGCAAAGGCTTTTCAAGCTCATGATTCATTTTTGAAATGGTGATATAATTGTTATATCCGTTTCATCTGCTAATTCTTTGTTTTCAATTATGAATACTCTAACAACTGTGGCTGAGATGTAAAAATACTATAGTCCCAAATTAAGATTTCACCATCTTCCAACACACCCGTCACCCCTCTGCTCACCACACCACCACCAACCGCCGAATCGGTTCTTCCCTTGCCGGTGGTGCTAATTCTGCAGCCGAATCATGTGTGTGGAAGTGGAACGATAGATCAAGGGCCACGAAGCTCTCCGCGCAAGGTCGCTGCTCGGGAAGAGCCATCACCTGCCAAGGTAATCACTGATAAAATTTAACTCACGCAGTGACGACGGCTCTGACGAGTCGCATAAAGGGGACTGGTGACACGGTGGCGTCGCCGAGATTGTTTCGTACAGGAGCGATCGACGGATAGGGGAGACAGAGGGTGCGACCGAGATTCGACGAATCGACGGTGCTCGTGCTGACGCTGGAGCGACAACGGACTTGCGGCCACCAAAGAAGTTAGAAGCCGGCAGTGGAGAACAGCAATCGGTGGTTGTAGGCGGCGCTGGGGGCAGTTCCAGTGGGGAGGTCAGCAGAAAGTGTTGTACACTGTGTGTGAGAGAGAGAGGAAGAGAGACCGAGAGCGAGAGAAAGGTGATGAGAGACGATTGGCGGGAGTAGTTGGCGGGGGTAGGGCTCACTGATGTGGGCGGATGGTGGGTGGTTAGGGAAATATCGACATTGCCCTTAATGAATTAATGAATGTAAAANTCGTTGCATCATCATAATTTATAGCTAAGACATATTCATATTTCTTTCCCTGATCACATTTCTCGTCAGATTTTTATGTGACTTCACATTTTTTGAAAACAATATAATGTTTTAGATACTTTTACATATATTATATAATATTGTATGTGTTTTAATATTTTGGACATGCATGTTTTATGTTCTTTTATATGACATATTCGATATTCGTCAATTATATCACATGTTAACACCACATATTTAATTTATAATTATTATTTAATATTGTTTAACGGTAAACATGTAATAATATCGAATATTGGAATACTGAGCTGGAGATTTTCACATACCCTCTCGAGACTCGACCGACTCACCGCCGCTTACTTCCCTGGAGGAAACTTCGACAGCAAGCCATGGACGAAGAGTTCTCCGTCGATCCCTCTCAACTACTCGGAGCTTCTTCCGACTTCGCTCATCAGCCAGGTCTCTACCTCTCTATACCTCGTTATTGCACATATTTAAGTTCTTATGGTTCATGTTTGTATAATCTCAGGTGCTCCATCAGACGCTTCAGCTCAGGAATTTCTCACGCGCTTTCCTCTCCCCGCCATTATTAGGTAGAGTTCGTAAGCCCATCCTTATAATTATAATTGTAAAGATTCTCGGAAACATGGAATTTATTGATATCATGGTGTTCTTTATTTTTGGGTTTGGCAAAATCGAGCAGCGCCTTGCAGACGGACTCGGATTACCCTGGTCTAGAAAATGCTTTGGTCGATTGTTTGGAACGAATATTCAGAACTAAATATGGAGCATCACTTATCCCCCATTTCATGGTATTGCTGTAATTGTCATTCCGTGTGTGGCGATCTTGTGATACTTCTTTTCCTTGCATATAACTCTTTATGTTGTTAGTATGGCTTTTGGATTTGCTGGAATTTACCGCTGCCGGTTTGCTCTTGTACAGTAGTCAATTTGGAGTTTTCAGCTGCTTTGCCTTAGTAGGTTCTAAAATGAACCCGCCGCCGTAAATTTCTATCCACATGTTTTGGTGACTGGTGTTATAGTTGATGCTGTATCTCAGTCATAAACATTTTTCTTTTTCTTTCTGTATCTGTATACTTCACGTTTATTTGTAATGTATTAGTGTGATGTTGTAGATAATTTGTGAAGTTTACTGTGATGTGCCTGTTTGTATAATACTTATATTAAATTATTTCTATATATTTGTTCTATCTTCACTTGCTTTCTGACTTTACCTGCTCATTCAAGATGAATTCCTACTTGTTTTTGTTCTAATTTTGCACATCGGTAGTGTATGTTGCCACTCGGCCATCTTTTTTGAAAACTGCTTAAATTTGACAACGTGGCACTACTTATTATGACTTGCTCAATTGTTTAGTGTTGGTTTGTTTGGGTTATTTAGAAGTCATGCATTAGTGATAATGATGCAATTTTTCTAGAGTACTTATATTCCTTATATGTTTCAGCCTTTCGTTTTAGTTGGTCTTGGGGCAGATTCTCAGAAAGTGAAACGCTTGGCCTGTGTGGCTGTAAGTATACCCTACCTCTGTTAACATCACAATCACTTCCAATAGAGGGAAAAATGGAATCCTTATTAAGTATATTGTTAATTTGATTTGGATTAATTTTCCTTTTCTCTCTTCTGTGTAATGAAAGGCATGCTATTCAAAATCTGACTCGCCGATTTGTTTTTAGATACTATGTCTTTTAGAGAATACTGATAAGAAGATTGCAGTGCAACTAGTGCTACAACATGGAGTTTATCCCCTTCTGCTCAATTGCTTGACTGATGGGTAAATCTGCAGTTGTCACTTGGGTGTAATATTCTAATAGATGTCATGACTTCATTCTTATAGATCAATAATTGATTTTATATAAATTGAGGACAAATGCATATTATTTGATACTTCTTCCGTAGTTAATTAATTTTTGTTTAAATGACAATGTAATGACATTGTTTTATGCATTGTTTTATGAATCTACTGTCATTTATATATGTAGTAGCAACTTGAATATCACTCTGATATTAAATTTAATGCATCATGATTCAACAGTAACCATAATTGATACCACTGAAGTTCTTTTTATAACCTAAAGTTCCTAAGTTTTTGTCTTTGTGCGTCAATGATTAAACAATCACGACCAAGAAAAATAGTTATACCTGAATATTGTTGGTTATCTTCAAAATATTGCAAATTTTTTGCAAATCAAATTATTATTCTAGTTTGTAAATGGCATATTATTTGATGCTCCTTGTCAATTTGTTCATGGTAAGAAGTTTGCAAATTAAACTGAGGAATTCATTCATTTTTTCTTATAGACCTTAATTTTGCTCTTCTTTTTTAGAATATGTATAATTTTTGGATCATATGTAAGGCTAATTTAATTGTGAATTATGTTTTATGCTTAATAGAAAATATTCTTTCTGGTGTTCTCTTTTTCTATAAAGCATCTAACGACAACTATTTTTTATTTTTTATTTTCTTTTAATACTTTTTTTATATATTAAAAGTGACGAACAAGTGGCTGCTGCATCAACTGATGCGATTATATCTTTGGCTGGATATCCAGAAGGCATGGTGTGTACCTGATTTCTGCCTCTGGAATATGAAATTCTTCAGCAACCAATAGTTCTACACTGTTTTACTGATACTAATCTGCAACTTCTCTCAGGGTATTGTCTTTCCAACAAGTACTGATGAAGCTACACAACTTGGGAACTTAGCAGCAAAATGTTCATCACTGGTATACTGTTAATATATGTGTATACATCTTAAATTGAATAAGTTCCCATTTCTTGCACATTTTTGGTTGTAAATCTGGGTATATGGAGGGCAAGGGTGGTTGCTATGCATAAGGAACTTTTCGTCTGGTCATTTTGCTAGTGGAATATAGAAGGCTTGCTTCTAGCCCATCTACATGTTATGATCTTTACTTATCTATGCTGTTGTGCTGCCATATTTCTGATGTTGGAATTGTTATTCTTGAATTCTTATGCTAAACACTTCTGTTTGGATTCTTTGAATGTCTATAGGGAAGAGTTCGAGTTCTAGCCCTGATAGTGAGGCTCTTCTCTATTTCAAGCTCAGTGGCTTCAGAAGTCTCCAGATATAACCTTTTGAATCTGTTGGAGGCAGAAGTAAAAAATACAAATGATACTCTAGTCACATTGAGCGTGTTAGAACTTCTGTACGAGGTATGGCTCTTATTCTGTAAGTATTGCAATATACCCATAATTGTTTATTTCTTTTGTCTCTATCAATGTTCAACTGCTCAGATCACCAGGTTGGCATGCCAACATATGCATAAGTTTCTCTGCAATATCATAGTTGTTACATTACATTGATTAACCTCTTTGGCCTAAGCATGACATAATTGGTTCAGTTCTAAGAAAGTCAGTTCTCCACTTCTTAACATCTTTGGCACTGTTCATGGCACAGGTGTCATAAGCATTGTTTTCAACTCTAATATTTGTATTAATATGGAAAATCAGTCATTTATGGACTCATGCTCATGCACCACCCAATAGGCTGTATCTGGTACAATCATGATGATGAGAGTACATAATAGGATTGCATATTCCATCTTTTTCACCATGCGAAATGGTCGTACATTAATGTCTGTAAAACAAGTGCATCAACCAATTGCCGAAAAGGCTATTTGCTCTCTAATTACTCAAGTTCCACAGTCAATCATTGGTATTTGCAAAGTCGGGCTCGTTGAAAAATAGCAGTTGCCAGCTCTATTTGTTGGCCTTCACGTTCCGATTCATCAATCCTCTATCTCGTAACATGCTATATTTATAATGGTAATTTACTCTTTGTTCTTGTGCATATGGCAACTAACATTTGGATTTTAGTTTTCAATGTTTCTCCTTCTTGATTGAGGAGAATATCCTTCTAATACTCTCTGTAAACATATCCTGAATGGCTTTGATTTGAAATTTATTACTCATACAGATGTTTTTATTTGTTTTAATTGGGTCATTTTTTTCCTTTTTGATATCTGGACCTTGATGTGTGTCTATTTCCGTGTAATATTTTCTATCAGGGTTTTTGTTTCAATGTTTTTTCATTATCTGTTCACTTGCATTTGTTGGGTTGAAGTTTCAGAAATATTTTTTTCATGTCTTAACTTTTGTGTTGTGATGAAGTTGGTGGAAGTCCAACACAGCGCAGAGTTTTTATCTAAAACCAGCCTTATTCAGCTCCTTAGTTCAATAATCAGGTTGGTGAAGAGATAGTTTTTATCCATAAAATTGTCCGTGTTTTCTGAATGTTTTCTTGAAAAAAAAAAAAAACGTTTATTTCTGTCCTCAGCGATGTAGCTTCAGAATCCATTTTACGATCAAGGGCAATGTCGATAGCTGGAAGGNTCAATATTTCCAAATCCAGTTGAAAGTATCTCACAGTATGACTTCATTAGAACTTTAGTTACACCAAAAACATAAAACAGTAACTTGTTACGCACAGGACTTCATATGAAACTTCTGATAGTCTCTCTCTCTCTCTTGATGGCTTTAAATAGAATTTTATTGTTTTCCTGCATAATTTTTTTGTAGGTGTCAGAACTGTTCTAGCCGCTATTGATAAGAGGTTTGAGTTCATGGAATGTCACGAGGCAGATGAATGTGAATCTGCACTTGAAGCCTTGGGCCAAATTGGATCGTGTGAGTTATGCTTATTGATTTGGGTTACATCAATCATCTAATCATGCTTTGCCTCCTGGTTCTTTTTCCTTTTTGGGTTTTTAGGTTCTGTTGAACTTGTCTGCATATTGGATACCCAAGTGATGACTTCACTGGTGCTATCCAAAAGTTAATATCCCAAAATAAAAAACCATACATTTCATCATTTAAATAATTGCTCTTTTGAACGGCTTGATCTGGTGCTTTCCTTTCTCAGAACTTCCTTTTTACTCTGCCATTTTTAGCTCGGTTTTTTATTTGATCTTACTATCAGTTAAGTTCCTGACAGATAGCTAATGTTATCTTAGTCTTCTATTGTTGATTCAGCATCCCAAGGAGCAACTGTAGTTCTGTCAACTTCACCTCCTATTGCTAGGCATGTAGTTGATGCTGCTTTTGACCGACAACAGCATGGCAAACAGCTGGTGAGCCATCAATGTTGTTTTTGCACAAATTATGCGATTCATTTTCAAAACCTATTTCATGAAAGGGGTCTTGTATGAGACACATGATGCAGTCAGTATGATAATTGAATTTAATTGTTTGTTACTGGATTTGGAGGAATAGTGATGAGGGACAAAGTGCTACTGAAAACACAAAGACAGTACTTGGAAGGATAATATGTTTTATGCGTTGTTTGTTTGCGACACACTGATCTCATTTTCACTGTTCATTTAATGGATATCAGGCTGGGTTGCATTCCCTTGGAAATATTGTCGGTGAAGCACGTATAGCAAGTACAGTTTTGCTGAACAGTTCTGCAGAAGGAAACCTTAGGAGCTTAATTTATGAGAAAGCTTCCAGAACATCAAAGTTGAGCCCATCAGTAAGTCATTCTTTTAACAGTAAAAAAATTTACATAAATGCAAATCCATTTCCCTTAACAACCTGCATTTTGTTTTTTTATTTTTCATATTTGTGTGTGTATATTTCTTCCTGCATTCTTGAGTTAGTAACAAATTGGTGAGTAGCAGATGATATCAACAATTGGAGCATACAAAATTTAGTTCGGAAATTTCAATCTTGTACGAACTGAATCCATTATCTGTATGGATTTATGATGAATAAATCCAATTCACGGGCTTATTGTGTGTCTGGAGCAACACAAAATTAAACAATGAAACCTTGTCTGTGTTGGCTGTTACTGGAGCAGCACAAAATTCACGGGATTATTGTGTGTTCGGTGTGCATTTTGGAAATTTTGTCTTGACTTTGTCTTTACTTTATCGTAACACCATTTTTGGTTGCAGGGCCTCCTCTTATCAGTTCTTCAGCAGGATTCTGAAGTTCGCATTGCGGTTAGAACATATTTCCATAGCTTGTTTCTATAGTGTCGTGAGATTTATTGAAACCTTTTAATTCTAGTAGTTCTGTGATAGGGCTGAATTTTTATGCTTTGTGCTACAATCGACTTCTAATGCAGGCATATAGATTGATTAGTGGATTGGTGGCTCGACCTTGGTGTCTTATGGAGATTATCTCTAGACCTGAGATAATTGATGTTATAACCGATGCATATACAGAAACCACAAAGATAGGTCCGTATCAATTCACTTCCAGATGATGCAAAAAATTCCGTTTTTATATCCAGTTTTGTTTTACTTATCATGGTATTTTCTTTATGTTAATATGCTTTTTGTGAACTGTATTTGACATGCACAATGACTTAGCAGGAATGGAAGCTAGACATAGGTGTTGTGAAGCAATATACAAAGTATACACTTCATCTACAAAACTCGTCAGTGATCCTACATTTGCGGACATAGTTTCTAAGGTATGATTTTACTTCCCAACTTGGTTTACCTTCTCTGTATACAATAATTTTGGAATGCTTATACAGTTTAGTCTCTCATCCTGTTTTGACCTTCATGGTGATATTGAAGCCATAGAGTTAGAAGGAAGATTAGTGAACTCTTCTGGTTTGATTTGAAATATCGTAGATTTCAAAGATGGAGAAAATATCTGGTCTTTAACGTCATCTGAAATGGGTGGGTAGAGGATTAATNAGGATCGATTAGTTAATGACATGAAAACTAAGATGAAGACTAATTTCGTTGTGGAATGATGACTATGAATCAAGTAATCAACCCCAAGAGACTTTTGCCGAAATTTGTATCGAACAATTAAATTCTTAGTAAGAGTCGAATCTTGATGATTGCCGATCACTGTTTGCAGCTACAGGAAGCAATCAGAAGGGGTCCTTATGGTGCGAGAAAGCTCACTGAGGCTCAACCGTTGGTTATGACAGCCGACAGGTTCTGATAGTGCAAATAGTACCAAACACTTTGTGCTTTAATAACCTAATTGTGGTGTACCAAGTTACTAAAACTGGGACCTCAACTGTTGTAAGAATATCGTAAGTTTACTGGGAGTCGAACATATTTAGCTTCGATATGATGTGCTGTGTCTGAGTTCTCTTTAATCAAATGGTACAAGATAAGAAATGAAATGGCAACTCCAATATCCCAGATTACAGCACATAAAACAGAAAGTTCTTAATGGGATGGTGGCTAATCTCAACTTATTTTCAATAGTGGAGAATTTTTACTGTGTTGTAAAATTCTGAGTTATAACTTTTTTGAGCTCTGCAGTTTGAATAAGTAGCTAAAGGATTATATCAACATTTCTAAGGTGTTGCATTGGTTGATATATATGTCAATCCAAAAATATACAATAGAAATATCTATTGTAAGCTTAGTGTTCTATCATTGTTGTTCCATGGATGTTTTTGACTTCTCGAGAATTATAATTACTCATGATGTCCAATCATTAGTACCAAATAAAATTTTATTTATTTAAATAATTTTATTTCTCAACTAAGGCAAATGAGATAAAATTATATATATGAATGGGGGAGGGTCCACAAGGAAATATAATATCATCTCTATTAATTTTGGTCTAATTTGAGAAAATGTCTAGTACCACATAGTGTTGAATATTTTATATTTAAAAATTTTCTTTAATGTAAATAAAACGAGACTAGTTTAACCTTAACTGTTTTTTTTTCTTTTCTCAATTAAAGTTTACTAGTAGGACACCCGTGTACTACTAGGAAAAAAAAATATAAAATAATAAATAATAGAAAAAACACATATTGTCGTATAAAAGTGCAAAAATAGAAAAAAAAATATTCAGGCTCTATATAATTTGACAATTTTATATAAAATTAAATTATTTTAATTTAAAAAATTAATATTTTTTACATATGCTTCATAATTCAACACCCATGTATTTACATGGGTAGTTGTGTTTAAATATTTTTTTTTAGGCTTGTTGGATTACTGAAAAGGAAATTGATTGTTGAGATAAATGCAAAACAAAAAACTATATTTGATCTTGTATATCTACAGGGGAAAACAAATCTAACTCTATCAGCATAACCAGTCATACCAAATTAAGGATTTTCTAGAAATTTCTAAAACATAACGCAGAAGATAATTAATAATTACAAAAATCAGGAAGCTAAATAACAACAAATTAAATTAGATAGTTAACCGAATAACAATTCAAATACAAATATTTACACATGGTTGTGAATCCAAAATGAATGATTCAGTACTTATGATGGTTTCCAACAATCTTAATGCTACAATAGGATATCGTGGTAGATTTACAGCCGAACCACCAGTAACATATTGTACAAGTCATTAGTTTTAAGGAAAAACATCACTTAACTCATACTCATACACGTGAATTTTGGATAAGAATAAGTGATTAAAAAAACTTTTGAAGGAATTAAAATAAACTATGATAAGAATAAGAATCCTATTTGGAGGAGATAAGAATAAAAATCCTATTTAGAGTTGGAGTCCTATTTATTTTGGAATATAGTTGTATTAATTTTTATCCGAACCAAAAGCCGAAGCATGTAATGTTGCCAAGTAAGCTTCCGAAGCGTGCGAGCCAGCCATTTAGGCTCAACACATTTTGAAATTATATTAAGGAGGGATTTCTCCATGCGACGAAATATATGATGAATTATTTGCAACATTTAACACATTACAGCATAACAATGGTAATTAAAAAAACATAATTAGAACTACAAGCAAGGGATATGTAAACCAAACATCCAACACAATCTAAGAGCATCTCCAATGCTCAATGTTGTATTGGTAAATTACATTCCACATCAACACATTTATTAATATCACAACTTTTCATTCTCTAATATACAATGTGATTATAAATGTTGTGGTGACGTGGACATAATTAATGTCTAGAATGTAGAGAGGAATGTGGTTCATCCACATACTCCTCCACACTCTAGCTAGCCAATGGAGAGAAGAGAGATAATTATTATTATAATTTTTAAACTATTTAATTATTTAATTAATTTTATTAATTTATATTAAAATTTAAATATTTAGTAAGTAAATAATATTGTAATTAGACTACATTGTGCATTGGAGATGATTTTTTAATTTAATAATTGTGAACTCAACATTTACCCTATATGGTTTACAATCTATTTAATAATTTGACATTTGTCAAAATTTTTCCATTAATAACAATAAAGCATCGGAGATGCTCTAACTTGCACGTAGCTGTATATGATTAAGTAATTAATGTTGTCTGATAAACACAAGTTTGACCATTATAAAATAGTATCAGTTGATAATGAGTGGAGGTCTATATATTTTTATATCACAATTTTTTTATGTGGATCCAGGGGGAGCCTTATATGGGGCAGTGTGGGCTTATGTCCACACTGGAAAAAAAATACTATCATATACACTTTGCTTAAAATATATTTTCATACTCCATTAATAAAATTAAAAAGAAAAAAAAATAATGGGAACACAAAGAAGGGAGAAAAAGATAATGAGGAAAAGAAATAATTGTTCTTATTTATTTTGGTGAAAGTAAATCTAATCATTTTTATTAGATTTGGTACAAAAATTTAAACCTATAGTTAATTGAATGTTGTTTCCTAAAAGACTATTTACATATTTAAATTTGTGTGTGACTAATAACTTGTAGGGTTCTTACAAGGTTGATATATTAGATAAAACATTTTATACATTATAATTTGTTTTAGCTCATACAAGTTTGATATATTAGATAAAACATTTTATACATTGTAATTTTTTTTATATCAAATTATGGAGGATATGTTCATAAATAATCTTGACAAAAAAGTACGTGTGAAAATATTTCAAAATTAACAATGTTTAGTCCAAATATACTTGAAGTGAATTATAATATTGTTAGGCCGAAATAAAACGTAAAGACCTTATTATAAATTCATACCAAACTATAGAAAATCATATATAAGAATTTCTATGAATGTGTATTTTTGTATTTATACTATGTTATTATGTATTATATTTTTTTTTTCCAATAAACAAGTACAAGGCACCCACTCATTTTATAAGTTAGATCCGCCACTGTGTGAATCGGATACCCATTATATTTTGTAACAAAAATGAATATTTATATTACGAAATTATTATATTTTGTTTATATTGTAATTAAAAATATATATATTTATCGAAAATATATTTTCACTCAATAATTATTGGACATCCATTTATTCCTGACAATATATATACTTTTTTAGTTTTATAAATAAATATGTCATGGTAATTTGACTAGCCGTTTTGCGGCTGCACAACAACAATTGTGTATTAAAATTTTAAAACTTGAAAGACTTCATTTGAAGCAACATAAACCCCAGAAATTCTATGGCGCCTATATGGGCACCATAGAATTTCTGACATAAACCCACAAGGCATCATATTCTAGAAACTAGTACGTAGCTCGTGCGATGCACGGGACAAAGATATTAAATGAGTTATTTCCACATCCTTGTCCGATTAAATCTAAAAAATAATAGGGTTATTATTTATTTTCTATCTCTTTTAATCAACGTTAAGTCTAAAAAACAATAGAGTTATTATAAGTTTTTTTCCACATCTTTTAATCAGCGTTGTTTTTTTTAGCCAGAACATTAAATATGAGCATGTTAAGGCTAGCTTGTAGTTAATATATTATCTCACTAAAATATTTGTACTAATAAAAATTTAATTTTAGCATATAAATTTATCCCTTGATATAAGAGAAAGTAACAGTTTTACTTATTGTTCTTCAGTATATAATATTTAATTATTATTTTATTATATAATCAAAATAAATATTGTTAAATAGTGTACTAGAATTGTTATAAAATTATATGAATTATTTTTTTTTACATAATGGATTTAATATCTTTAAAAGATTTGATAATATAACTATAATATATTCTTAATGATATAATAATATGAGATGCGGATTTACATAATACTATGGATTTATTCCTTAATGTTAAGATATTGAATTAGGTAATATATGATTCACTAATTTGTAATCTGTCTCTTTTTATATTGAAAATAATCATGTGATTGAGTAGAGATAATAATTATCAATAAATTCCTTCATTTAAGGAATAATTTTTAAATTGGTCCAAGTGTTGAATGCAGTCCGATTTTCTTGTAACTAAAATGAGAAGAGATTTCGAATTTCAAATTTTCACTTCAAAACCACACGTATATTTGGATGCAGATTTTATTAAAAATAAAATGAGAAGAGATTTTGAATTTCATATTCATTTTAATATCTGTCGAAATTTTCAAAAATGAATTTAACAAAACCCATAATTTTAGGGGCATTTAATGTTCCTATTTTATAATTTAAAATATCTAAAACTTTCTAAATATGGTGTGCAATTAATTATTTTAAAAGATGAACCGCTTTTGTTACCAAAAAATATGAGCACAATTTTGAATGTACATCCCGTCCAAATATCAGTTTTATTTTAAAATAAAAATTGCACGTGGTTTTAACCAATTTACACACTTTTTTTGAAAGAAAATATTATTCATTAAGATTGGAAGAATTAGTTAGAAATTATATAACTATTTGTTTCGTAAATTTGTATCGAATTTGAACAGTTTTTAAATTGATTTGTATTTAGAATTGTTTTCATAAATAATTGACACATTTTTTGCATAAGAATCTCTAAATTTGTTACCAAAAAGATATGATTTAAATTTTGGTAAAAAAATAAAATATGATACTAAAAAGATGGGATTCAAATTTTGCCATAAGAATCTCCAAATTTGTTACCGAAAAAATAGGATTCAGATTTTGTTTCTAAAGATTTACATGTGTTTTTTCGAACTTTCCATTAATAGTAAGTCAAACATTATATTTATTTGGTCAAACTTTCTATTAATGTATTTTTCCAACAACCGTTTTATGTATATATAGATATAGATACAGAAAATAGACAAATACTATTAGGAATTAAGAAACAATGAAATTCCATCACAATTTAGGAGAATGAAGCTAATTGTTCAGCCTACAGAACTAAATATAAAAGTGAGAGACACGCAAACATGCGGACTAGAACCTCAACCATTGCCTCAAGGCCTAACTAGGACTCAATAAATTCAACAAACTCATCAACTAATAGCAAAGAACTAGCCAAACAACACACATATAGAAGAAAGCAAGAAAAAGCATCAACTACTATGTTATATGTAACATTACAATTCTTTCATATAACAATGATAAATTCTAAATTTCCAAATGTTCCATCAAATAATGTTTGCCTCCCTATGATTTTTATTTTTATTTTTAAAAACACATAAATTTATTACTCAAAAATATTTTTTTAACCGTCGAACCAAGCTCAATTATTATTACCAAAAATATTTTTTTATTTACT